AATTTCCCCACCCTGATTTATCTGTTTCCTTCCCCATGTCTCATGCTGTGGCTCCAGCTCACAAGCACACTGTCGTTTTATTACTCTTCACTAAAACTGAATGATAATTATGATTTGGCAGCTGTTTTGAAGAAGAGCAGAAACAAAGCCTTTGGAACTTTTATGTAACAGCCAGTGTTGGCATTTCCATGAATTGCAAGATGATTATGTGAAACAAGCACAGCTCCCTCATTCCCAGGCATATAAGAGAGCCAGTTGACCGATTTCAGATGGCTAATGCAAAAAAGGAATTCTAGCAATCAGACTCACTGAATCCGTGGCAGAATTATAATGAATATAAATCCTAATTCTATCCCCACTGCCTTTGATGTTAAATCTGGGTTTAAATTATAGCTGCTGTTAATTGCAGCACTGAAATATTTTTCATAATGATGAGACTCTGGTTCCTTTTACCTTAATTATTTCCCTGCTGAAGAAAAAACCTGGGGCAACCTAGATCTGCAGCAATATCCAGATGTAATATATACATTAGCCCTTCACACTGCTGATCACTCAACTGTCCTGTCGCTGGCTCACGAGCAGATGGCACACACAGTACCAGAAATGACAGACCTGACACTGCATTCCTTGCACCTCTGAGACTCTCATGTGGAATGCAAAAAATGCAAGACTGCACAGTGGCCCATACAGGGTATTTCAGAGATGCTGAACAACTGCACATCACTGCCTTGTGCTGCCACAGGGGGATAAAGCACTCCCAAGAATCAGGAAATCCTTTTGTGTGCTGCAACTTCACCTATGCTTATAAGAAAATCTGTTCTTCTTAAATAGTGGCAAGAAGATGTGTTTTAAATCTTATTAAAATCATCCAGCCATTTCATTTGAAGAAATTATAATAAAAATCCAAGAAGTCCCCAGTTAAAAAAAAAAAAAAAAAAAAAAAAGCCCATAGGCTTCAGCAAAAATACCACCTACTCTCTACTAAGGTTTCTGTTGGCATTAGGATCCACATTTTAACCAAATTAGAAAATAACATTTTTCAACAACAGACAACAAATTTTAAAAATGTGACCTTTTCTGGCAAGGTTGATTTTAATTAACTTAAGTCAGTGGCAGCTTTCAGTTTTTTATGGAATATCTGAACTTGACAATGCAATCATGCCAGAGAAAAACTTTGATTGCAGGATGTCTATGTGAATGCTAACTGAAGTACCAAAGAGACACATGGTTGGTATCACAATGTTACCATAATTAAGGTATAGAACCAGTGAATAATTCCTGATGGAAAGGTTCTCTGGATGTCTCTGGTCCAGTCACTCCCCCAGAAGGGAGGGATGAAAGGACTAAGATGAGTCTGAGCATCATCAGGGATAGAGGTTCTATAACCTTCCTGGGCAATCTGATAAGCAAGGATTAAATCCTCTGCATCAAGCTGCTGTGAATGAATTAAACAAATATAAAACACTGCTGAGTACACAGTTAAACACTAAAATTCAGTTAGAAATTGTTTATGCTACATCAAATCAGAAAGAATCTAACAACCCCTGGTATTTTCACATTGATCACCTGCTCTCAGGTTCAGAGTAAGACCATCCTACTCACTAGAATACTCAGTATAAAACTGTTTCATAGTTCCCAGCATAAAGAAGATGTGGCTTGTGTGTTTTACCTTCGCTTAAGACAATTAAGAGCAACCCAAATTGTGAGTGGTAGATCTGAGCTCCACTAGGACTGTGAGTTCTCATACACTTCAGTCCCTTGATCACCCTGTGGGAGCAGTATAATCTCTAACCCTCCCTGTACTTCTTATGAAATAAAGACATGCTTCCTTTAAGCAGGAACAAAACACAAAGAAATCTATAGTCCTGCACGAGCTCCTAGAAAAAGGATACAGAGGGCCAGGGTCACAATCCCAAACCCACCCTAGTGCTCCAGCCACTGAATTCACCATTTCTCTCAAACCAAAATTTTGGGTTGCCCTGAAAGAGGAGCAGAACCATGCATGAGATAAAACCTCCTGGTATTTAGTGGAAGCTGGCTGCCCTCTAATTCCATGTTCTTTTAGAAATCCCAATCCTAAAGCCATTTGTAAACTTGAGATTCAATTTCAGCTCTCCAACTGCATGAAATCTCAGTCATCTTCTAACAAGTAGAGAGCACAGAAAGGGCAAGGAACATTCATTGCACACATAGACTGGTACAGTTTCTTCTTTGAGTTAGCAGCCAGCCCATGTGGAAAATCTTTGATGCAGCATCATCAGAGGTGCCTGGAACTCTTCACACAAACAGTGTGGGCAGAGGGGGCCAAGGCTGGATTAATTTCCTGAAATGGGTTACTGAAATAGACACATCTTGATTAAATCCCGGAACAGACACATACCTAACATTTTCATGCTCAAATTTTCACATATTTTAAAACATTTTAATAAGAGGATACTGGGGAGCCTGACCTAGAGTGTTCACATTTTATGAAATCTAATTTACACATTAGTTTTGATCGTAAGCACAGAAAGATACCATTATTTCCACATTAGTTTTGATCGTAAGCACAGAAAGGTACCGTTATATCAGTCTGGACTTTCTGGTACACTTTCTGCACCAAATATCTATAGAGCACATCAGCATCTGAGATATGGCTGCTCCAGAGCTTTTGATTTGTTTGTCAGCATGTCCTACACTCATGCAAACAAGAAAATCAGTCTTATATATTCAAGCTTCAGAAGAGAAAAACTGATCACCACTCCAGTCACAATAGAAAAAGAAGGTACCCTTGGACAATGCCTTTCCCTGCAGTTACAAAGGTATTATTGACCCTAAATTCAAAGGGGAGCTTCTGTTCAAGTAGAATATGCAAATACTTGAATCAGAGGGAATCACATCATTTCCATCACAGTGATGTATTGATCAGCTGTATTTTCTAGACACTGACTTCCTGTTTAACTCCCAGGCTTCCAGGACAAATGGATTTTACATTTGCAGTGATCTCCATAACAGACTGTAAAATTTAGCCAACATAAAAATAAACACAGTAAACCCTGGTTTTGTTAGGCAGATGAAGTAACCTGTTCTTCTAAATCATCATAAAAGGAAAGTCCTCAGGAATCATCTCAGATTTGTCAGTCTAGTCTGTTTATATTCCTGATTTTTTTCAAGTGATTTTCTAGACTAGACTTTTTTCTTTTAAATGCCTGTTTCGTCCTCTCTCCCTCTCTGATGAACACCCTCCTGTTGTCCTGTTCTCATCCTGGTCCTTGGTATCCCCTCACCCCTAGTTCCGCAGAGCTGTCGTGGCTGGACTTGCCTGTCTTTGGTGCCACCTTTGGGCAAGTGGTGGTTTGCCACAGAAATACTCCAAAACTCTTCACTATAAATATTTTGTAATCTCAGTGTGGGCTCCTCAAAAGGTTTACTTCTTGAATGCTCAGTAATTCTCATACAGTTATCAGATTTTCTCTGATCACAGCCCATACTCCTGATTATTTCCTTAGGTACCTGACCCATAGGCACAGCTAGATCCCCAATGGAAAAACTGAAACATTTAATTTATATTTCCACCTTTTTGGGATAAAATGCCTTTAAAAGTAACTTGTTCAGTAGATCCTGTATCATCCAGAAAACTTAGTCTTCACAATTTTCAATTTACCACACAGCATGGGTTAAGAATAACATAGCATTTCTCTTAAAAATTTTTTTCTGGAAGAAATCAAGGGGAGCTGAGATAGATGAGGTTTTGTATTTCTTTTTATGTACCTAATTTTTGAAAGACAGCAGCTTTATGCTATAGTGATTAGAGGATAGGCTTTATTTTAAATGTTCTTATCACTCAAATGTTATTTAAACCTAAGCAATACTCCAGCCATGTTTATGTATGGGTCAGTGTGAAATGTTCTCCCAATGGCTTTTTACACCATTGGCCAATTTCAAATATTCTCAAGGCCATTAAGTTACAATAAATTTCATTAGATAACTGATTGGGGGTTTCTAGTCATATCCAGTAAGAGAAAAGCTGCAGTTTGTGCTTAGCTGCTGTTTGAGACCTTACAGAAGTTTGTCTTTTCAGTGCAGCAAGGAAGAACCAAATATCACTGATTTCACTTCTCTGTTTCCCTCCTGGCCATAACTGATCCACTCTCCTGTGTCCTGCTGAGCAACTGACAACCTTCATTTTGTAAATGGACACATTTACTAGGATGATCTTAAAGTGTGCACCGTGCAATTAATTACTGCTGGGCAAATGCTGTCAAGATTAGACTTTTATAGCTAACCAAAACTTATATAACAACTTATAAAAAATAATTTGGGCTGAAGAAGTTTTGTCTTTGAGCTTGCACTTGTATGTCAGTGATATCTATTACAAATGTATCAGTATTAGTATGTTTTGAAGAATACTAGGGCAACTGCAGGAGTTGTGTTTCATGGGTAACTAATATCAGGATTGGGCCCTTAAAAGTCAAAGTCTACTTTGAAGCTTTCCATTTCTAGTTATCATTAAACAATTAAAATAGATGTATTTTTTTCATTTATACATTAAAAAAATTCATTTCACTAACATATGTGCAAGCTGAGAGGATTTACTTTATGTGGCACTAAACCTTACATATTGTCTAAAACACCATGCTCATTCCTTTGGGATATAAATATCCATCTGATTAGCTAGCAGGTCTTGTCAGCCACAGTAACTTATCCCCTGGTGTATCTGAGCCATCACGTGCCTCTAGGACTTCTGTAAAAGGTCAAGAGGACTTAACTAAGGTCTATAGAAGTCCTTCTCTATGTAATTTGAAAAATAATTAAATCAAGAGGACTCTGCTGATCTTTCATCCAACAATATTTTCTCATCTTGGCTTGGGGAAAACTAAGTGGCCAGGTGAGTTCAATCTTTCATCTAGAACTTTAGAAGACATCACAATAATTCACACAAAAAATGCATGGAAATAACCAAAGATGTCCAAATGCTGGGCAGTTCTATAAATACATTTGGCTTTGTCCTGAGCTTGTACACCTGAAGACTTACCTGGAAATGCCAGTGACTCAGATGCTCGATGTGTAACTGAGCTAAAGGATGGAGCAGCTGGCTCCTGCAGGGCAGCTCGCCTGCTCTGCCCTGGCACCTGGGCTCACCTCGGGGCCACCTCCACAGCTGAGGGCAAGAGCAGTGGCAACTCTACCCAACAGGATTTTTCATTTTGCAGTATTCTTGACATGGCTCTTTCCAGTATCCTGACAGAAGCTGAAATTGCTGCTGGTCTACAGAGCTGTCAAGGTAATATTTATGTTTTAAATTTGGCTTTGCGGTTTATCTATCAAATTCCATTGTCCTTGCTACCCCAAAGTCTCAGTTCCAATGGACACAGAAAAATCTCTCTTACTAAAAGCAGAAAAAGGACTCAAGGTAATGGAACAGATGCAAGTTTTAATCTTGGCAAACCAAGCTATGAGTATCCACTATCATTTGTGCACTGCAGCAATTTTAAGGATGAAAAAATCCAAAGGCTGAATCCTGCAGCAGAAATCCTGTTTTTTCAGAGAATAATAATAAAACTACTGCTGATTTCTATGCAAGCACAGTATTTATCATCAAGTTCTACAAATATGTCTTTCAGTAAAGTATCCATTTACAAGGGTATGTTCTTGCATACTGAAGACCACAGTCATTATTTCATTACCTTCCTAGTTGTGAGACATCATTGATGGAAAAATCCCATTTATCTGATATAAACTCAAGAAAATCAAAGACTGTTACTTGGGATTTGAAATTACCCTCACTGTACTGCAGAATAGTTTGCTGCTTTTTGATCAAGAAGCTGATTTTTTTTGTTCCAGATTTTTGACTACTTTTCTTTTCTCCTTGTTTCCATCTGCCTATTTCAGCTGCTGATTCATTTGATTTCAAAACCTTTTTTGTCAAAGTGGGTCTCAATTCCAAGTCCAAAGACCAAGTTGCCAAAGTCTTTGGAATTCTTGACCAGGACAGGAGTGGTTTCATTGAGGAAGAGGAACTGAAGTAAGTAAATAAAAAAGTTGTCAACAGGGTAATCATCTAAAAATCTGGTTTATCATCTAAAAATGCATGATAAGGTCAGAAATATTCCCTTTCCTCCTGTCCCTTTGGATGGGAGACAATCATGTGTTTGTGCACCTGTGTGTGGGTGCTGGTTCTGGAGGACCTGCAAGTCAAATAACAAAGGCAAGGCTGGATCACAATGGGGAAATTCTGACAGCACTGAAAATACTTGTTTCAGCAATGCAGCAATAACTGACAGACTGTGAAGATAAAAATAGCAGTTCTGCTATAGCTGCTTCTTATTGTAAGATTTTTTTTACCAGACTGAATTCAAAGGGCCATTTTTCTCTCATCTTTCTTCCTGTCATATGAATTCTACCTTCCAGCTCACATTCATCTGATTTTGAAGTTAAAAGTAAGGTTAGAGAAATTCTTGATGAGACAATGCATCTTAGGAGAAAGAAGGAACAACAAGGGAGGGAAGATTATTTCTGCCACTATAGTGTTAATTTTTAATTCAATGAAACCAAGATGTCATCAAGGGCTTTTTTTTAGGCTGTAAAGCAGCATCCTCTTACTTCCTTACCCTCACTCTCAATGAAGTTAGAGGAAGTTTTACCATTGAAATAGTTCTCAAGAACTGAATCATGCTTGAAATTTTGCAGCTATTACCAATACAAACCCTGAATACTTCCAGCATTGTGCCTCTCTCATTTGTCCTCTCACCTTTACCAGACTTTTCCTGAAGCATTTCTCAGCCAGTGCCAGAGCTTTGACTTATGCTGAGACCAAGGCATTCCTGGCAGCAGGGGACAGTGATGGAGATGGCAAAATTGGAGTTGATGGTAAGACTGCCCTTATTAAAATGATAATACCTGCCTTTGAAATTTCCTAAAGGCAGCCCTAGGCACCTGCCCTGCTCCATGATGCCCTGGATGTTACGGATCTGATGCTGAGGTGCTCAGATCTGCTGTGTTATAGAGAGGATCTAACATAGAGAGAGGTCTCTATTCTGCCCCTGGCTAAAGTGGTCAGTCCCTTTTCTCATTTATGGAGATTTTTTTCAGGAATGGAACCTAAATTCAGTCTATAATTTTACTGCTTTTTGCTAGTGAACTGTGATACAATGTGACACTTAAATGCAACGCTTCCTTTGCCTTAAGTATCTATTGTTACAATACACAATGTGCTGCCTTTAAGGAATGATTATCAGAGGAAGTAGCATTAGTTTCCCTTTTTAACTCTAAAAATTAGTAGAGAAATTTTTGACTGTGTGATTACAAACAGAGGTCCCATTTTATTACTCTTTTTTCTTCTTTTTCAGAGTTTCAAGCACTGGTTAAATCGTAGTCATCAGTCAAGAAAAAGACTAAGATATATGTGCCATAAACTATCTTTCCTACTGCAAACCTACAATTTATTTACACACTTTGTATCTTGAAAGGTCATGAACAATTGTTGGCAAGTGGTTTCATATTGCTTGAAAACATCTGAAGTGGTACGAGCACTATTTAAGCCACACTGCCAAGTGTTTCAAGCAGAAGGTCTGTGCCTGAGGGACTAAACTGGAATCCACTCTTCACAACTGAATTTAGGGCATTAAAGACATAAACATAAATATTAAGAGGAGAAATTGAAACTGGGCTATTAAATTTTCAATATTTGCATAAATAGCTAGCACATGTTGTAAAAAAACCCCATAATTAATAAAATGTTCAGGTGTAAAACCTGTTTATGGTAACCAGTAGCAGTGGTATTTAATCAAGAAGTGGTTTAGTATTCCATACATTTTTCTGTCATTCTTTATGCAAGTGATTGTGTTTCAGAGACTAAGTGTATTGCAGAACCTTGCACTAATTAAACTAGGTTTAAAATAAATTAAATTAAGTCATCAATTTAAGATCAACTGGATAGAGGATTAATTTAGATTTCTAAATAGCAATACATTGAAAATTTCCCAAGGAATCCCTCACCTTCATGCCCACCCGATGGCACTATTGTTCCACTGCTGAGAAGCTAAAACAGTATTCTGTGTGCTCGAATGATTTCCAGAACACTCCTCGTGTCCCACCTGCCACTTCTGCAAAAAGCACTTCAATAACACCTGTCCCTAGTGCTCCATAAGAGCCAATGGGGGAATGATGCCTAAATAATCAGCATTCTGCTGCTTTTCTTCTCAGCACTGAGAATAACACAATGCCCACATCTCACAGGGTTGTAAAATGCATCAATGTTTGTGGGGAAAGTATAATAAAATGAAGAGTGCCATAAAAAATGCTAACAAATTAATCTTTTTTTTCCTTACAGACAGATTGAAATAGCAAGACAGACATAAGGAATGGGGAGAATGCAAAATTCTGAGTAGTTTCTCACTAATTGAAGTTCATTTTGTGCTCTAGGTTAGGGCTCTGGTTGAAAAGCATGGGTGTGATGATGTCAGCACAATTTTGTCATAGTATGAACACAGAGAGCAATCAAACTGGGGTACAAAAATGAACTCATTGCTAATAGTACCTAACATTGCTAATAGTACCTGAAATACCACAGTGTATCAGGGTTTTGTCTTAGATATGTGACCAAAATAAACATATAGCCAAATAGCCTTTAAAAAAATCTAGATGGCTTTAACCATCCCAAATCTTATACTTCCAACACTGCAGTTGCTCCTATATACTCTTTGGAAAAAAATTGGAGCTGCTGAAAACTCTTCTCTTGGACAATAATCTTGCAAAAACTGCTATGAGTGTCTCATACTCTATTTGTTGGAGCTATTTAAGAAGATGTTTCAATATTTGTAGATCAAAAACATTAATTTCAAAATTGCCAGTTGATGTTATTGTGGTCCTGATGCAGAACATATTTATGATGAGACATTATAAAGAAGGAAGGAAATATCAATACAGTGTTGGGGAAATCATATTACACAAAGCTGAAGCAATCTACAGGACTTTAATGAATACTCAATAATGTGTTCATGCTCTATACATTAGCAAAAATATATTTCCATTAACTCTAATGAATTAATCAGGTCCTAATATTGTAGAATTTTCTGTAAGAGTGAAAAAAGGATTATCCGTCAAGCAAACTGGCATTCATTATTTCAATGCCATCTCAGAAGAGCAATTTAAAAAAGGAAGTTTGCAGAATTAATAACTGCAGCCTGACTGCAGAGTTAAAAGCTCTAATTATTGTCAGAAAATGCTTTGTTTCTCAGCTGATATTATGTTTTATATTTTCATTGGGCAATATGGGTCACACAGACATCTTCTAGCATTGTACCAACATTAATGGCTAAATAAGAGAGAAAGGCACAGACAGCTCAGATAACTTCTGAGATAGCAGGCAGCTCCTTTATTTAACCACACTTACTTCCACCCTGATTAGCCTGCTAGGCCTACAAATCTAAGACAATTTCACCACTTACCATTCCATTAAGAACAGTAAAAAATTCATGACAAGTTAAGTCTGGTATCAGCTTCAGTGATCACTCCAGAAAGTTAAGGGCTTGTGACTAGAGTGCTTTTTAGACCTTTCCTTCTTCCAGCACTACCACTAAGCAGATCAGAGGAGAAAAATGCTGTTTTCTTTGCACAAGAATACACTCACTCAATTTATTTTCATCTCTGCCTCTCATTCACATGGGCTGTAAGGTAGTGTGAAACTTCTGTAACTACTTACCATGGGATTTAAGAAAGCTCTTCAAATTGTGCCTCAGCTGGAAATCTGCTGCCTGATCACAAACATACAGTCCCAAACAGCTCCCTTACAGCGAACAACATTCTGCTGGAATCAGACATTTGGAGGTCTGAGACCCTAAATATGGGATTGCCTCTTGTCAATAGAATTTTGTCACTTGCTTAGTGCATGTGTTTTAAAAGTTTGTCTGAATCTCCTTTCTTTAGCCCATTTCTGCTAAACAAGCAACTTTTGATGTTTATTTACAATAAAGTAAACTCTAATGACAGGGTAATTTTACTTCAAACCTCACTAAGGGTTACACATCCTACTACTGCTGAAATTAATGGCCAAAATCCCACTGAAATCAATGAGAACAGGCAGTGAATACATAAGTAGTTGGAAGCACCTCAGTGATATTTGGTTTATTTTACCATGGTTCCTTACACCGTGGGGCACAGTGAAATGCAGCCATGTGCCAAGAGCCCTTGGTAATAGTAGAGTAGAACTGTACTTATCTTTTACATGGCACAAAAGGCAGCATCCAGATTATTTCACAGCTTCCAACATTAGGGCACAGTTATTACTAAAATAGAGGAAACCCTGAACAATGTAGATTTTTAAAGATCGCTCCATCTGACACTGTCTATAATGCTGACAGGCAGACGGAAACTTGTTAGACAATTACATTTAGGGTCAGAGACAGAAAATTACATTACTGAGTCTCAGAAGAACTTTCAAGTGCTTTTAAAGACAAACACAAATCAAGTGCTGTCAGAGAGCTTCCAGGACAGCTTTTTAAGTGAAAAAATATGTTTATCAGACCAGACTCTATGAATTAGTGACACTATTACTCAGCTATGTTAGTCTATTCTGCTGCCATTTTCAGACAGAAATCAAATTCACTCTCACAGACTGATAAGAACATAATTTGAACCAAGGAAAGCTCACATGGTATTTCCCCTAACATGAGAGAAGTACCTGTTTTCCTTTAACTCCAGACTCACAGTGCTGCAGAATCTATCTTGTATCTTGGCTTCTCTAGTCCAGATCTCTGCTCAGTTCTCTGGGCAATATCCTCGACCTGCTGCAGGGAATGAAAGCTTTGTCACTGGGGCCTGGCTTTCCTCCTTCATTGTAGCAAAAAAGTCAAATACTACAGCATGTGCTCAGAACTTCTCTGTTAAAAATGGCAAAATACTATGTCCCAAGCAACAATTCAAATTAAATGCTGTAATTATTTCTTTATTTCTATATTATTAAAGCATTTTCCCTAAGAGACAACGTGAAGTGGCAGGATATAATCCATTTTGTTGTCAAGGTCCTTTTCAATGATTATAGCTGTGAACACACAAAGATTCTCTGCTGTCACCACTGAGACATCAACACTACTATCAACCACAGAGGTTACTGAGTATCTATTTTAGTTACTTCTAAACTCATTACAAAGGCAGAATCTGTTATCCAGGATCATGATACCATTGGCCCTGACACAACCAGGGCTGAAAGATGGAGTTGTGTGGGTTTGAGAATAGCTGCTGCAGCATCTCTTTACACTGTTGTAGCTGGTCTCAGGTTAACACCTCTCCTCTGATCTCACCTGAGACAACTGCTGATGTTTCTACTGTACCTGCCATGGCTTTGGTTGATTGTTACTGCTAATCAACTCTACCTTATGCAAACCAGAATACAAAGGGTACAAGACTAGACCACAACCTGTCAATGCTTTACCAAAACACAGCTTTCCTCTGATACTTAGAGAAGTAAATAACATTTGATTTGAAGACAATTACTTCATCTGTTTAGATTCCCAAAGAGCCCAGAACCTTAGCAAGAACTTAATCAATATGAATATTCTGTATTTCTCAGAATAACACCTTCAAGTTTAATTTTGGAAGTCTGAAAAAAAAATGCTTTAATATTATTTAATAAAGACACCACAGGTGAAAACAACACTAGGTATGGAAGTACATAAATATTCGGATGATCAACCCAATAAAACTTTCAGATGTCTCTCATAGAGAAAAAAAATCCCCAAAACAATCAAACAAAAATTAATAGTTTTTCTTGAATTTCATAGGAACGAGTGCTAAACATTTCTGGAAACTGCAATACTAAGATTCTGTGTCAGATTTTGAACTATTGTTAACTGCCCATTACTTAGCAACTGTTGTTCTGGTTGAATTATTAGGGATTTTCATTATAGTGTTACATTGTTTGCCTAGCATCTTTAAAAAAAAAAAAAAAAACCACTTTCATAGATCTCTAGTTTTTAAATGCATAAAGTAATTACAACCACCTAAGTTAACACATTACCAAGAAAGAAGGAAAACAGACAGATAATTTAGATGTAAAATAGATTATCGTAATAAAATATCCCTTAATATACTAACCACTGATTATTGCATTCTAATTGTAGTGGAGGGAAACCTGTACTTCAGATGAAGTGTCATTAATAAATAAATAAAACCCAGTAACCCTAGATTCCCACCTGTATCAATGTACAGTGACATCAACTTGATTCTGAAATTCAGCTCTTTTAGGCTTTTGTAGAGCATATTTCAGCCAGGATTAGCATCACTTTTGTGTTAGCATTGAATTTCAAACAGTAAAAAATCTCTTCAAAAGCAATCCTAGCAATTATCTCACTTTTATTTGAGATCATATTAGAATATAATACTAATTTTGGCTATTCTACAACTGTTGAATACATGTAAAACCAGCTCAGCACTCTGTGCTATGCCAGAGTGCATGAGGTAACCAGATGTCTTTCTTTGAACATCTGGTGCTTATATTTTTAAAGAATGCCCAAATTAGTTGCAGATATATTTTGAGCTTGAGTGTTATATGCTCACCTTGTCATTTTCCTCCATTTCAATTCCCTCATTCTCATTAATTGTCAATAATTAGTGTTGTATGGCAAGTCAAACACTTAGACAAAGAGCCATGAGTACTGTGTGGGAGCCAGCAGAAACAAAAGAAATTTCCTGTAAAGGAACATCTATGGCACTGTCACAGGGGGCCGAAAAAACCTTTTTCTCTAGAAGCATCTTGGCAGTAAAAAAAGAACTCTTCTGCTCAATCTCATATTAACTTGAGATGATCATAAAGGAGAAATAACAAAAGAGCGTAAAAAGGTACCTAAGAGAATGAAACTTATTTCAGGATGATTCTGGAGAAAGCACAGAATGAACTTCATCCCCACAGCCATCGCCTCACAGATCATAATACCATGGAAATCTCAGGCAGAAAGCAACATGAATATATAGCACTGAATGAAGAAGATAAATGGAAAGAACACCAAAAGATCTGTGATAGACCTTCAGCTTGTACAAATCAGCACTGTTTAATTTGTTTTAATCACAAAACACTAATTTACAACAGCCCAGGGTTCATAGGTTTACCAGTAAAGTGTTCTTCCAGGTCACTATAACCAGGTTCCTGCTGCAAGCAATCGAACAAGGGCCTGTTTGTTCCTGGGCAGTTGGTATTTGGGACCAAAGGTAAGTCTGAATATTTGTGACTTATGCCATGTTCCTTCATATACAAAATAGTTAGCAAGAAAGTTAAAAGTATCATTAAATTATGTCTGCTTTTTTTGTTACTTATACCTTGCATTTCTCTATCCAAATTCAAACAGTGCAATGGAACATTTGCTATGATTTACACTTTTCTCACTGTCATTAAACCAAGCAGGAGTAAACCCACTGTAGTCCATTAACTTACATCAAGGCTTAGATATATTTATTACTCTGCTCCACAGTATAATTTGTAACCATTGCTACTATAAAAATATTACCTCTTTGGCATCCCATGCTATTTCCATTTGTTTAAAAATAAAACAGTGTTCATGGATTAAGACAACATCAGTTTAGATACCAAAATTGACTACTACACAATAAATACTAACCAAAATACATGAGTTTTATTGGTCTCCATCCTAGAATTTTGCCCATATAAGCCCCCTTAAAGATAGAAATAGATTTTTGTCTGAGAAGGAAAACCTCCCATCTGCTGCTACGAATTTTCTTAAGGTTTTTTATTCTAAAAGAAATACTCCTGAAATATACAATAAACTCATTTATTTATACACACAATTAAAATTTTGTTAATTAAATAGATTTTGTGAGTGTGTTATAAAATGTATATACAACTATTTCCACACTAACAAAGTCTGATTCCTACACCTATAGAAGTTGCTGCAACTAGTAAGCCTATTACTGATTTCATGTAATTCAAAATATTCAAAATGGATTATTAAGTAGGCCAACTGATTATTTATAATCTTCCAAGGAATACTGACAACAAAATCAGTTTATTCAGTTTTACCTAGCCCATAGTTTTCTGTCACTGAAGACACTAGTTTCTGTTTCTGTAATTCAGAAAATGGTCAGGAAATACAAAATGAAGCTTACTACAGAAAGATCATCCAAATTAGAAAATGCTTTCCTCTACCCTAGTGACAAGTCATCTTTGTCAGAATGACACATTGGCACCTCTGATCTGTCATCTCCAACCTCCTTCAGACATTCCAAAGGATCAACAGACCCAGGGAACAAACAATTTCATTTCTTTTCACAAGGATTTGACTGCTGGAGTCATCTTCCAAAGAGTGACTCTCAGGTACAGAGGTTACCTGTTAACATACTTGGAGCTGAAAGGCTGCTTTGATGGCAGAGTTGCACTTAATTAAGCACTAGTGGAATTATTTTTTAAAAACTGTTCTTTTTGTCCATATTATCTTAGGATATAAATAGAAAGAAAAGTTTAATTAGTTAAGGAAGAAATTTGAGCCAGGTCTCAATTCAAACATTTGATCCATGGAAGTGTAACCTAAGTAGTGGTTATTGTCACCTTCTGAATCCTTTATAAGACAGAGTGGCAAGCCAGAGCCAACATTACTATTTTGCCTGGTATCTCCTCAGCTGTTTTTCCTTTACCTAGCTGAGAAAACTCTAAAGGTGAGCATCTGACTTAATATCAATTAAATAAAATTACTGTGCAGAGCTGCACCAGTAGTAAGTACAATGACCATTGTTCTAAGGTTTTTATTTTAATTGCTGGAATTACATATGGATGGGCTTTACATAGATAAGTATCAGTTTTCTTTTTATTCTTCAGAGCTGTTGGGGGAGATAACAGAAGTAAACTTTCTTACCTTTTGTTTTCCAACTTCATATATTGTTACTTGCATTGCCAGATTCCATGCATTCCAGTAAGACTATTTATTAGATGAATGGTCACATAGAGTTTAAATATGTGCTGTATTTATATAGGTTGCAGGTAAATGATAAAATATTGATCATAAACTCACAACATGGTTAATGTAATTCATCTCATTAGCAACCATTATTTCTGAACTGCTATTTTTAAGGAACTAATGTACTAAATCTTGTAATTTGTTAAGGAATACTAGAGATGTCACTTTGATCAATGAGATTCATCTACTCTTGTTGACCATATAGTAATCTTCAAAACACAGAAAAACTCAACTTGTTTTAAGATGCATTTGCATTTCAAAACTGTTTGCAATATTCTATTTTGCACAGGTTTAAAATGAGCCTTACAGACATTCTAAGCCCTTCTGATATCGCTGCTGCTCTGCGGGACTGCCAAGGTGAGAAAACAATTAAAAATCTCAAAATCTCTTATTCTGTGTAACCCGGGACAAGTTTAACTCAGTCCCAAAGCAATACAAGTGCATACTTTAAACAGATTTCTGTAATCTTTTTACTCAGCTGTCACAGTATGTTTGTTTATAACTGGTTTATATTGTCATTTTGGAGCTTATCCCCACATGATTTTGTTGGATGTTTTGTAGAGTATGGAGCAGAATTGCAAATCATTCATTCTTTGACAGGCTTCACCTACTGATCATGTTTAGAACAATTAAATTGTAACAAAGTATCATCCTCAGACCATTTAGGAACACTGAATGCAGTGGTCTGGGGTTAATTTCTTTATTAATTTATTTTCAGCTCCAGATTCCTTTAGTCCCAAAAAATTCTTTCAGATCAGTGGGATGTCTAAAAAGAGTAGCAGCCAGCTCAAGGAGATCTTCAGGATTCTCGACAATGATCAAAGTGGCTTTATTGAAGAAGATGAGCTCAAGTAAGGATTTTGTTAACTTCTTGGAGGATATCAAAAGAATAAGCACTTTTTCCATTCCAGAACTTTCAGTAAATGTGAACACAATTTATGCTAAATGATGATAAAACCTTCAGTAGATTGTGAAAGATATATTTAAATAGATAATTCTTACAGACAAAAGCAAATTAGTAATACTTGCCTCTTATGCTCAGTATAGAACAAAAGAGCACCCTGGGGCTTGACTTTCATAGTGGACAGAATCAATTCAATCAGGGTTGCACTTACAAAGTAGAAATACATAAAAATAAGATTTAGCTTGCCAAACAAAGCAGTGTTTTAAGGACTTGACTATTGTGGTAAATTATTTATAGATAGTTATCTGTTTGATGGTACAACAACTATAAAAATACTATGGTTGCTGAAAATCTAAAGTCCAAGTTGTGTGAAAATCTAAATCCAAGTTGTTTCCTCCCAAGGTATTTCCTTCAGAGGTTTGAGTGTGGAGCCAGAGTGTTAACCACCTCAGAAACCAAGACCTTCTTGGCAGCTGCAGATCATGATGGGGATGGTAAAATCGGGGCTGAAGGTATTGACTACTTTAAGTACAGAATGAGGCACCTCGGGATGTTTGGAGTGGTGTGGGTTTCTCTTTTATGTTGATGGTACATTAATGTACCACCAGTGATTTTACTGAAACCCTTGAATAGCAATCTGTTCAAAGGTGGAAATTGTCCCTGATTTTTCAGGCTCATCTCTGCAACTCCTTTTGCCTGAGCAAGTAAAAAAACTTAAGGAACTTTCCTGTTGCCACTCACTCCCATATTTCAAGTTGTTCTGAAAGGAACTTCCCCTTATTTCTCCTCCCACTTACCCTAATATAAGGCAGCACTGGCATCACTTGGAATACACAAAGGTAAAATCAAGGACAAAAGAGCCAGCTGTACACAGGAGAACAAACAGCTCATACATCAGCTCATTTCCAGCAGCTACTGCCCCACAGAAATTCCACTGGGCACTGAAATCATTCTCAATATGCAGCATGTGGCTCCATATCTGCTTTGCATAAGGATAACAGAATGATCAAGGGTCACAATGCCAGTACAAGATCCCACAGCAGGATCTGTGCAGGGATGGCTGTTCTTTATCTTCAGTGGCAGGCTGAGATCCAGACAGGAAGGAGCAGCTGTTTAAGGAAGCAGCACACTGCACTCACCGTGTGGAAACACTGGTGTGATTTAATGGCTGCGTGATGCAGAAACCTCCTGATCTCCTAATTCCATATTTCTGTGCCCTGTTTTGGAGACAAAGCACACACACAAAAGGCCTGCAGCTAATGGCAACTTGCCCCATGAGAGCAGAGAGCTGCTCAGACGAGCATGAAAGGGGCTTAGGGAATAGCACGCAGGGAATGTGCCAGCATGCAGATTCCCCAGCTCACTGCACTAGCAGGACAGAACTCTTCTGTTTCTTTCTTTGGAAGGAATTAAATCCAGTTCTTTAGGAATTATGCCAGAATAAACACACATGATTTATGAAGCAATCTGCATAGTAATACAGTCACTCAGGGATGGGACTAATCAGTTACTCTAATTCATGGAAGCCAGACATTTAAAATATATTTAACATAAAATATCTTATTGCATAACTCAACCCCAGGATCCTACCACATGAACTGCAGAGTGTTTTTAGCTTTAGACTGTGCTCTAAATCAACACTTCTCTATGTCTGAAGCATTACAACAGTTAATATAACACATAGACTCACTATCCATTTTTTTCACTTGAGCTCTTTACTACTTCTTTCTTAAATTCCATATAAGCCATGCCATTATTTTTGCCTAAGATCAGTATTATGCAGAGAGAAGGCCAAAACTACCCTGAATATTTAATTATTCTCTGTAAGTCAGCAAAACACAGTGCCTTTCCATGTGTTGTTTAGAAGAGGATGTTTAGGTGATGCCTCTCATCCACACGTTTCTTCCCTGGTCATTGTCATCAGTTAGATAACATTTTTCTGTTCATTCCTATTCTAAATCTCTTGGTAATCCACTAATCTTTTATTCCTAATCCTTTCATATTAATATTTCTTTCATGTAAATATTCTCTTATCTTTCACAGAATTCCAGGAAATGGTGCAGGCTTAGAGGTTCAAAAGGAGCAAACCCGATAGAATTGGATGAATCTGCAGGAGACACTCACAAACCTTGAAAATCAGGAGTCCCTTATTTATCTTGACAGTGTCTGTTATTTTTTCACTGCCTTAGCAACATAATGAAACACTGATTACTGATTTTTTCATTGTGTGGACTATTTACCATGTTTTAACCTCTACTTTAGCAGGCACTTCCCTTAAAAATATCCAATAAAAATTAATCATATACTGTAGCCTGTGTCTGTTTTTTTGACTCCTGTATTGAAACATGAGAATTCTTAAACCAAAAGTATTAATCCCTTCAAGATCTTAAACTTATTAGATCTTCATATATGGAACATATTTTGAAATGATTGGGAATTCTGTTTACAATAGCCCTTCTGGATTAAGCTTAAGTTCTCAGAACACTCAGAATACCAGGAGCTCAGATACAGTTGGTAAAATCTCTCACTGACTTCCAAGTGAAAAGCAGTAATATATTTTTTGCTTAAGAAGTGGCTTCTGCATAAGGTTGTTGCAGTTTTAAACAACACATTTACATCAGCCAATTAATAGATGAGGAAAGCAAAACCCACATGCCTTCCTGCAGAGAGAATTCAAAGGAAAGCCTATGAGGACTTGAGGTTTCAGATAACCATGAGGTTTTAAAGAAGCAGAGGGGAAGCAAGATATCTTCTTGGTGGTATTTTCTTGTTTTCTTAATAGGGAGGACTGGAAGTGTGGAGGAAGAATTTGTACAAATGCATGTCGAGAAATCTCCAACTCTCCCTGGTGGGCTGGATTGATGTATTAAAAATGTCCCTTACAAGTGCATCCGTCTCTGGGAATGCTGAAAAAATGTCTTTTTATGAGCAAACATTTCATCCACTCATTAGAAAAGGATATATTCAGCTGCTCTGATGGAGTATTTATACCTTCACTTGCTTTCTAAACATTAGCAAGTTGCAGGTCACACACATGCAGCTTGCAGAGGCATCACAACACAACAGAAGCCTTTGAGTGAAGTGATCAGTCACTGCAGTTTCAATGCATTTCTTCCTTTGCTGCAAATGACTACATTCAAAATTAACTGCATTACTTCCTTATCAAAAGTCTCTATGAATACTGGCAACTGTGCACAAAAACACCAAACCCAGAATGGAACTGTTTATGAGATAGTTCAGCTCTTCCTGGGCAAGAGACTAATGAGTCTGAATGGATTTGTGAAAAGGAACAGGTATCTTTCAGAGCACCAGAGTCACAGAGCCCATCCAGTTAATGCTTCCATAAGCTGGGCCTTTTCTCTCTCCCAGCCTGTGTTGAAAACCTAACAAAATAGTGCTTGAAAAATTTCTGTTGATTAAAACATTCTCATCACCAAAGCAAAAGCAATTCAATAAATTAAAATTCTCCTATACTCATTGCGAAGAAAAGTTCATGCAGTGCCCTCCTCTGAGTAGCCCAGACCTTAACCCAAAACAAATTCCATAATGATTCCTCCCTGATTCTTCCTCTGTGCACTCTGCAGCTACCTACTCTTTTGGGAGCCAAGAAATGGCAAGCTAGACAAGAAACATCCATTGCCTTAAAAAAAATTGATCCAAATTTATCAAAATTGCATATTGATCCACAATTATTAAGAGCTGACAATTGAAAACTGAATTTTGTAACATTTCAAGAAGTTTTAAAGATTAATTTGACATACAAGTTGTTTGTAAGCTGGTAGATTCAGTACATTTAATATGGTCATCACAATTTTCCTTTTATTGTACAAAACTAATATAAACTGATAAAAAATGAACACTGGATTTTGATACTACTTCTTAACATGATGAAATATGCTCTAGAATATAAATCTCTGGAATATCAGTGACTTAAACAGAGCAATTCAGATTTACACAAGCCAAGGGTCTGACCCATGAACTGACCATGGCCATTCTCAGAACATAAGATGGATGTCACAGGACAGTCACAAGAAATAAAGTGTGTCCTTGGCAATGAAACCACTCTGATGACAGAAGGGTCTTGGAGTAGTTCACATGTAAGTAACAAACAAACTGCTCTCCATTTCACTGACAATTAAGTGTCCTGACCTTGACTAATCATGTTACTTCAGGCAGGCAAATGCCTGTAAAATAAAGAATTTTCCAGGTGCTGTTGCAGTCTGAATTCTAGCTTCTTTCAGTGTCTCAGCCTTTGCACTGTGGACCTCGACAAAGAAACCCAGAGGCAAAGTACAAATTCTGTTATTCTCCACCTAGATGCAACAGGATGCTGGAGCAGGTCACCAAACAGAAAAATATACTTGCCTTACTCAAGATATTCTGAGATATCTCAAACATCCAAAGTATTCCAGTTAAAGGATCTTTCCATTCTTTCCAGCAGGAAAAAAGTACCTTAAAAACCCAGTAATACAGCACCTACCCCAGCAGATTCAAGTAAGAGAAAACTTTTTGACTTGTAGGAAGAAACATTTAAAATTAAAACATCTCTTCCCTGGGATCCTTGAAACATTAAATCATATTTTGAATGCTTTTATAAAGCATGTGATAGTGGTAACTCAAACTGAATTTATTCACTGACAAAGATACTTGTCTGCTCCCTAGCCTAAAACAAAACACCACTGGTAAAGCTCCTAGAGACATGGGATATAGAATTCCCACTGCTTCAGGCAGGCCCCTTTAATTGAGAAAGCTCCTGGGCAGGGTTTTATTAACCGACAAGGAAAGAAAAACTGACTGCTTTTAATTCCTATTTAACATATGGATTTGGGCGCTCACTGTAAGTATATATTTAATGAATAGGATGGAAATAATAATCAATCTACTGCATTCACCACAATTTGACATGAAAGGCAGCAGTCAGAAATCAGCCATCACTGACAACCATGCTTACAGATTGCAATAGAAGTTGCAACTGGTTTTCAGAATTGCCAGTTGTACATTGCATACAATTATTCACTAGACACAACTACTATAAAAATACATTTTTAGGAAACACCAGAATACTTATGATTCCCCTAAAATCTAGGTCTCAAGACTGCTATTTCATGTTCACATTAAGTACCCCCCTAACACCCTGTGCCAGTGTATTCTGTCTGTGAACAGTTAGAATTAAGATATAAAAAAACCCACTAGCTTTATTCAACCTCTAAGCAGAAAAATGCCATGCCTTAAATGTGTCAAACTGTGACATCATTCTTTTTTTTTGCAGTGCTCAGAATGGAAATAATTAACTTATTAATACAATCCATCTTCAGAGTTGAAATTATTTTAACTGCCTAGCCCCTTCTTCATCTTCTCTTCCCAGCTTTTCTTCAGATTCAAGCTAGTAATATTAAACAAACAAAAACATTCCAATATCTCAAGTTATGCATTAAAGCAGTTTTTCAATAATTGTTACTCAGTAACTTTGTTTTCTTAATCATAACCCAAGCTAGTGTGAAGTTACAGCCTTCCTTTATGAAATCTCTGGTCCTGCAAAGCAAATGCCTCCATTATTAAACCATTACTCACCACGACACCCCCGGGGCTGCTCACATTCCCTGACATCACACCAAGAAGAAGTCTGGGGGATGTGAAGGCTGTCTCAGCAGGAGCCCAGCTCCAGCTGCACTGTTGGGTTTTCCCACACAGCTCCATGGGCCTGTTGCAGTGTTAACAAAGCGTGCAGACCAGGGATACACAGGCATTGTGCTTTTTGCTGGATCACAGCATTATTTTGTAATTTATTTGCTAAACTAATCCGAAACTGCTGAGTCTCTGCATTTGTTAACACATTTAGATCACATACTGCCAATGGAACAGCTATTTGAGCTGTCAGCTGTATTTATTTAAAGCTGTCAGCTCTAACACCCAGAGTGATTTATAGTACACCTTTTTGTGAAGTCTGCTACTACACAGCTGATGGAAGTGCTCAAAATAGTATCCAGAAATAGGCTCAACAAACCAAAACATATGTCTACACAGTACTATTTCTTACTTCTATGTATTTTTAAAAACAAATTGGAAAGCACTCATAAAGTTGTTAATTGTTTGTCCGTTGATGCAGGGGTTGTCCTGCAAATTCCCAATGTACTTATGCAGCAGTTTAATTTTACATAATCATGGGCTGGGAATCACATTTCAAACTCGGGGTGATCTGATGCCACTTTGCAAATGTCAAGGTGTGGTGTTACTGTACGTACAATTAAGAAGATGGGATGAAATTGGAACCACAATCGAAGTTTCTTCATGCCCTGTTAACGTGCACATTAGAAATGTAATAATTTAATTTAATTTGTTATCACTTGCTCATTGTAGATTCTCACAAATACTTCCACCAAAAGCAATGTCAAGTTACAGATGAGGTTGCACTGGGCAGAATTATACGTTAGCAATCACTACACATACATTAATTCCCTTCCTGGGGAAAGCTGGACATGGAAACACCTTCCTCAGCAATCCCCCTTTACAGAGAGTACCCAGTGTCCAGCTCTGTGCACCTCCACAGTACATCCCTTGCAGCAGTGTTTGTATTGCAGCAGTAAACAGGCACCCCAAGCCACAGCCCAGGATGTCCATCTTGATAAGCCCTGAAAAAACACACAGTTAAACATTTCGGCCAACACATGCAAAAATCTACAGTGACTGCTTTTTTTTTTTAATTTCGTTGGTAAGAAATTTGTTAACTTGATAGTAAATACTATCAATTTTTAGAATTTCCTTGACTTGCTGAATAGTATAAGCAAATTAACTTTTCCTTTGGCCTGATCAACACCTCACCCCTGCCTGCAGAAAAGCACAAGCAAGGAGGGGAATTTGTCTCTTTTTGTTTGATATATTGAATCCTGAATGAATGTTCCCAGAAACTGTCTCAAGAGTGCTACACCCTTCAAACGGACAGACCTCAGTAAAAGGGCCATTCTGCTCACACTGCTGAATTTTAACTCAGAGCTGTAGGGTAGGAAACAAGAATTACTGAATATGGATATCTCAATCTGACACATTTGGCTGGATCCTTCCTCAGACCCTGCTCAGGGAAATGCTGGGGAGCTCAGCACAGCAGGGTCTTCCTTCATCCTGCCTTACTAGCAAGGGGAAGGGGTCACTTGCTGCTGTGACCTCTCTGAAAACACCACAAAATGATAATGCAGATTCTCTCTGCAGCTTTGGAAACATTTCCTACAGCTGCTCTGAGCTGGACTGTCTGGAAATGCTGTGTCTGTGGAAATGCTCAGCCTGTCCAGGCCACACACAAGCTGCTCACTCTTGAGTGGTTTGGGTT